TGTGTTAGCCAGGATGGTCTCGATCTCCTGACCTCGTGATCTGCCCGCCTCGGCCTCCCAAAGTGCTGGGATTACAGGCTTGAGCCACCGTGCCTGGCCCTTCTCCTCAGTCTTAACGACATTTGCTTGTCTTGCTTCTCCATAGTTTTGCCACTAAATGAATCTTTGACATTTCTCTTTCTCTTTTTAAATGTAATGTTTATAGGGCAATATGAGTTCCAGTGTGTCAAACTGGGGAAGTAAGCTCCAAGCTCATAGGTAAAAAGGAGCAGCATAAAAATATGTTAGAATACTATAAAGCATTAAAGGAGTAATTGATTTCAAGTAAGAAAGAGACTGATACGGCCAGTTGTGGTGGCTCACGCCTGCAATCCCAGCACTCTGCTAGGCTGAGATGGGAGGATCGCTTGAGCCCAAGAGTTAGAGACCAGCGTAGACAACAGAGCAACACCCTGTCTCTATAAAAAATAAAAATAAAAATTAGCTAGGCACAGTGGTGCACACCTGTAGTTCCAGCTACTTGGGAGACTGAGGCAGGAGGATTGCCTGAGCTCAGGTGTTTGAGGCTGATTGCACCACTGCAGTCCAGCCTGGGCCTGGGCAACAGAGTGAGACTTTGTCTCTTAAAAAAAAAAAAAAAAGACTGATACTCTGGGAAATAAAATATATATATTTTTTCCCTACAATATAGTAGGAGAAGGAGCACTTTGACTCAACAGTTCTTATAGCCATGTATGATCTAGCAGCAGAGAATGTTCTACTTGCCACCTGTAGTGCTCCCTCAACCCTACCATGAGGAATAAAACAACCTAAGCTAATTGAGGAGTGAAATCAAATATAAGAAACAGATCATGCTGAAATAAACCACATTAAATATTCTTTGCACATTGTCTTCTCATTACTTGTCCACTTCCTTCCTTTCTTGGCTATGATGCGTTTCCTTTGACATGGGACTAATTTTAGGATTGGAAACATTAGAGGAAAAGTTGGTACATCCTCAGTTTTAGAGATACCTAATAATTTGGACAGAGAGCAGCTCTTTTGTTGATATCAAACAACTCCATCACAAAGACCAATAATTTGCTGTGCTTAGGCACTTTTGCAGAGAGGGTTTATTCTACCGCTGCTGTCTGTGCGCAGCTGTCTCTTCCTCCCAATTCTAATCAATGTAAATTGGGTCAGATCTCCACTGTGAATTACAAATTGGATCCGAAGTTGGAGGGTCACAGTGCTGCTACTCCACCTCCTTCCCACCGCCATTAGATGGGAAGCTTCACCAAAGATCTTTTCTAAATAAATCAGACTTTATTGTAAAACTCGGCTACTGACGAGACATAACCTCATTAGCATTGATTTTAAAATAAATTATTGAAAGTGGCCTGCCTGCTCTTTGCATTTGTAAAATAGGAGAATGTAAATGTATTTGCAATGATAAAAATGAAAACTAAAACTTGATTCCTTTATTCTTTCGGGCAACAGCACTTAATCTAGTCATAATACAAAGATGGAACAATAGAAATGTGTTCTATGCAGTTCAGTTCCAGACCAGATACTCTTGATTTCCACCGCACTTTTGGAATCAACTAGAAAGAAAAAAAAACATTGGCTATAGAGCTTTTATGTCATTCACCGCCATTACTAAGCTCTACGATGATGGATGTAAACGGGGAAGCTCCAATCCCCACATCTGTTTTATCTAACACTGTCCTTCCCAGGTGGCTGAAAGTAGGCTCAAATCAAGAAGACTTCCCATTGATGGGCTTGGTGCTATGCTTCTGGGGTCTTTGGAAGATTGGGTAGGGGGCACTATTGCATAGTGAAGGAAAGCACCATTCACAGCTGGTTGTGAAAATTACACCCCTAGACACCTCCCTAGGTTCAGAGGGCACAATACAAACAGGCATACAAGTTATCTCAGATCTTTCCATGAGACTGAACAGGTGTCTTTCCAACTCCAGAGTCAAAGACAACTATTATATGGCAACAGAAAAAAAGTCTTGTTGCTCACAAAAAGGGGTGGGTTAAGTAGCTAAAGTTTTCATTTTTATTAATCTGTAATGTGACACTTTAATTTTAAGAGACTATTTTGAAAAAATATTTTTTAGGCTAAAGAGCTTGTTGAATTTCTTTATAAGAATATTATTAGGCATTTCAGCATTATATCTACTGAAATATATCTTCATTTAAGAGTGAATTAAAATTGATATGCTAGCTCAACTTTAAACAGTAATGGATTATAATGGTCCTTGCTCCTAACAGGGCATATGGGACCCCAACCTTACATAGGTTTTAAACAAATTAACCTCTAAAGATTACTGTCCACTTATCACATTAAATGCTCTATTTGATCCCCAAATATCTCATCTCAATTGGGAAAACAGTTGAAGAAGATTCTGTTAACTGTGCGAACATGTAAGAGAACCACAGGGCATCACAAATGAGCATCAGTATCCGGAGAGTCGATTTCAATCAACATTCTTGGCACAAT